CACATGCCTTTACAAACTCATTTTATTTTTCTTTTCTCTATTAAAATTAAAAGAAAAACTGAATAAGAAAAAAACTTCTCTTTGTTTAAGAATAAACACACAGAAAGAAAGCTGAACACATGTACGTTTCTATTTTTGTCCCCCATTGACGCATTTTAACTGTGAATGAAATATTATTGGGAAAAATCTTTTTGTCATTCTTCATTGGTTGTGGGGGATAAAAATTAATCGCAAAAAAAACTTTATCCACGTTTCGCCTATTTTCATTAACACTTCATTATAACAACTTTTCTTTCTGGTGATTATTATAATGCACAAGCACACACACACTATTTTTACCTCTGGGAAAATTATGTCAGATTTTCTTATTTTTATATTTTTCTGTGGGGGAAGGTCAGCAGGAATTTTCCTGTTTTTCCAGAGAAAAAAAAACTTGTTTTTATGAAAATTTTTATTTTTGGATAGAGTCGTTGCACTTTTCGAGGTCAACTAAGAAGTTTTTCTATTTTCATTCTTAACAACATTTGTGAAATTTTATTAATTTTCTAGAAAACAATTTCAGCGTGTTTTTTGTTTGAAACTAAGACTGAGATCAAAGCTCTGACAGGATGTGACAATATTTAATATTTTTCAAAGATGAGTTGCAGATTTCTTAAAGAAATTGAATAGTCCAAGGGGGTTTTCTTGTCTATACTTAAGAACTCATTGAAGTATATTGAACACAAAGGAATGATCTCCAAAAATTGTGAGATAATCTGAAGAAAACTAGCAGATGGCTAAACTCGTAATCTCTAATTTAGGAAAGATTAGCAAATCTCTGATTAAATCTTTTAACTTTCAATTTTTAAATTTTGAAATATTTTTCAAAATTTTTCGAAAATTTTAATGTTCACTAAAACTTTAATTTTAAAAAATCAGAAGTTGAATTTCTGCCAGAAAGTCTATTAAACCTTATGAAAAATGCTATGATTCTGCCAAAAAAAAAACCAAAAACATATTTTTTTATGAATCACAAAATCCAAAAAAAAATTTTTCGAAATAATCTTGAAAATCTAACATAATTATCCCAAAGGAACTGATAATAACACTACTTCTCATAGGTTTAACAAAGTAGCAGCTCAATAAAAGAATCTTCACTCCGATCGAAACTTTACTGTTGAATAAATTTTTCGATAGATTTAACAAATCGCTTTTCGGATCATTAACACTGTTGATAGTTTTACTATGAATTTCCAACTACTTTTTCTCCTCATGTGACTTTAATTTTGCTGTTCACACAAAAGGGATTTATTCTTTCTTCTTGCTTATTATGCTGTATCCTTGTTTCTCTTTAAAAACTCTCACAAATGTTGAGCTAATTTAAGTGAATATTTTTTTTCGTCTTAAAAAAAATCAAAATATAAAAAAAATATTTTTGTAAAATGCGAATGAACTAAAAACAAACACGGCAAGGCTTAAGGGCAAATTAATTCATATGAAAAATGAAAAATTTGCGCGTATCGTTAATTCTCTCTTGTGTATTGTCGTATTTCACATTTGAAACTGAAACAAGGAACAAAATATTAATGAAATTTGTGTTTTTTTTTTGTTGCCTTTTTGCTCAGCGCAAAAAAGTTTTTCTTCTTTTTCTTCAGTTTCATTTCAAAATCATGAAAGTAAGAAAAAATACAGAAAATAGATTGTGATTGAGAAAATGACAAGGAACTAGATAGAAAAGAAAAGCCGAGTAAGAAGATGACGCGGAGAGGAAAACACATCACATTCGTAAATATCTCTTCAGTAAAAAATATTAAAAAATTATCTATTCGAAAAGTGATTTTTATTGCTTTTACTCATCCTACATACGCTGTGCGGTACTAACACGGGTAAATGTGGAAAAACAGCTTTTGCCTGCTGGACATTGACGCAAATATTCATTGAGTACGATTGGCAATATTGGCATCGCTTTTATTTATAGAGCGTTTCTCTCATATAGCTGACTTTTTTTTTCGGTGGGTGCTCATCTCTTTTTTGTTTGATTATCACATGAACTTGAAAAACGCTTTTGTTCATTGTTTAAAGTTCAATTATTGTAAATTGAAATGTGAGGAATTGGGTCGGAAAATCAAAAGCTTTTAGATATTTGATTTTTGAATGTCGAGTAGATTGAATTTCGGAGAGATCATACATGCTTAATGCCAATATTGCGTTGTGGCGTTTAAGAAAATTTTCCTCACGCAGTTTAAAATTGCTTTCCTTGAGACTAACGTACGGCGATTTTAATTTCAAGGTTTCGTTAAATTTATCATGTCATTCAATATTGCGTTTCGGAAGTAATTTTTTTGATAATTCTTTTTCAGACGACATGTATTAACATTAATTTAGGAGCTATCATTGTCAGACTTTCTTCAAGTTCTTCAAAAACAAAAGTTTCCCAATTTTCGGTCAATTTAAAATTTTATAATTTTTTGTTTTATTAAGCTTCATATTTTCACTAAAGTAAAGGACAATCATTAACGTCTGCTTTCATATTTTGTTATGATGTGTCACTTTCTCATGCTCATATATATGCTGATAGACTTTTAAAATCATTAGAAAATATTGAGAAATCTTATGACTATGACAATAATTGTATCTATTTGACCTCGACTTTGAAGAAAGTTAAAAATACACAAAAAAATAATTGTTAAAAGTTTATCTGAGTTGAGAAAGATTTCTTATAAATCATTTCATGCGTGTGGGGTCTTTTAGCTAATGAATCATTAATTAGAGGATTTCACTACTCAACATACTAGATTTATATAGAGTCTTCAGCCAAAAATATTGTAAATTGGAATTTTAAGACCGGATGTCAAAAATATAGTCGCATGAAATACAAGATTAACAATTTCTTCAGTATTCTAGAAAGATTGAGAGAAAAAGTTTCATCAAAACAAAACATTTAACTTTGACAGCCACAAACTTGAAACTCGTGTATCTCCAAATCAAATTAATACATTTTATTTCACATGACACATGTTTTGATTGCCTAGCAATAAATTAAATAAAATAAAATTAAATGTATCTTGGAATTTATCTACAAAATGTAAACCATAATATTTCATCATTTCAGTGTGTATGTATGCACATCCTGATATATCACTTGATATAATTTTGTTTTATCGTTTGTTTACTTTTGCTGCAATGATGCAGAACTTTTTTTGTTGAGCAATCTTGCTGAGAATGTGTTCAAAATATTTAGACAATTTGAGTTTAAAACTTTTTCTTATTTTATAATAAAATTGAACATTGAAAACTCGAGGCATTTTATATTATTTTTATTATTTTGTTAGAATTTTCAAGATATTACCGGGAACCTTCCAAAAAGTCAATTTAAAATATCATGACTGCCTCAATTTTCTAGGGAAAGGTTCAGTAATAATTCAAATTTTAAAGAAATTTGCAGAAAAATTTTTCATTCATTTTCTGTTTTTAATAAAACTGACAAAGTGCTCAGGAATGTTTATAGCCTGAAAGCGGCTGCATACGACATTTTTGAGCAATGACTTCATACTTTCATTTATAGGCCAACATGCGAATTAATAAATTTCATTTTCCAATGTTTTAACAAGATTTTCGATTTAATTTCTGCAATCTTAAAAGTTAATAATTTGAATTTATATATAATAATTCCTAAACTAGCTTTTAACATGTTAATTAAACATTTTTCGAAAGCAGAGCTCATTTTGTATGCAGAACAAATTCATTATTGAATGTATCCGATTGTAATACAACATAATTTACATCACTGCATCCTTCTTCTCAGACAAAATTGAGCAAAATTAATCTTGATTTGAACCAATTGGCTTGATAAAATTTTAATCAAATACAGTGTTGCATTCTGGCTATTTGTCTGGATCAGATAAATTCTGAGACAGAAATTTCTTCATAAAATCGATTCTACATGTAGAAAGAAAAAAACCATCTACATGTAGATTGTGTCTACATGTAGAATCTGTCTACGTGTAGATTTAATGTAGATGTCTACGATTCTACATTCTTCTCTGATGTAGACCTGGAAAAAATGTAGAATTATAGACATCTACATCGAATCTACATGTAGACAGATTCTACATGTAGACACAATCTACATGTAGATGGTTTTTTTCTTTCTACATATAGAATCGATCTTTATGAAGAAAGTTTCTTAGCTAGACAAAAACTATTGAAGAATCTACATTCTTCATCTAGTGTAGACATCTACATTTGCAACACTGATCAAATACAAAGGAAAACAAAATTGTTTTACAAAATAAAGTTGTAATTTATTTCACAATCCTCATAAAAATAGCATAAGATTTAACTCTGTATTCCAATATATCTGTCTTTAAATTTTGTTGTGAAGATTAAATATTAATTTCTGATAAAGATAAATTTACTTCCTTTTCATTTTCAAGGAAAGATGCACAGACATTCATACAAATTGCGTATCTTTGAGAATGTATACAGCAATGATGATAAAAAACATATTTTTCTCGGTTACCGATTTTTACTTGAGTTGCCAATTTATTTACGTCAATTTCGAGTGAAAATTTTATGTGAAATCATTAGTCAACGGGGAGATTGAGAGATGAGAATGTTTTTTGAGAGAGAAAAAGTATGAAAAATTTAAAAAAAAAGTGAAAAAATTAAAATTTTACGTTTTTTTGCAGCTTCGACGCATTTTTTAAGCTTAAGTGTTGATTTAATTTAAATAATTTTCATAGAACTTTTTAAGCTAGAATTAAAGTTAAGGTCAAAATGCTTAAAAAATATTTAATAAGTGAAACCACAACGCCAAAATGACCATATATCCAACAACAACCTGTACACATTATTTTGTGTATCAAATAAGAAACAACCACAAGTGAAATTTTTGATCGTAAACTGACTGTAGATATACATATGAGAAATAACTGAGCATATAATTTAAATGTGTGATATTTTTTCAGTTGAGACAATTTTATGATATTTTTTTTTTATGTAAAAACTTATGTGCTTACCAGAAATCAACCTCGCTTGAATCATCAGCCGATGAAAATTCTTCCTCAATGTCGTCATCATCTTCTGATTTTTGTGGTTCCTCGATACTCGACTCTTCTTGAGCTTCTTCTGATTCCTCAGATTCTTCTGATTCACTTTCACTGTCTTGTTTTTGCTTAATTATTTGTGTTGGTTTTGTAATTTGATTGTCCAATTTTTTAACAACTACGAGAGGCTTTGCCTCTTCCTCACTCTCATCACTTTCCTCACTTTCTTCTTCCTCATCCTCCATCTCAAATGATTCTTCTTTTATACGGTTTTTAATGTTTGAATAAAAAATTTATTTCGAAGGCAAAATACAAAGATTTTTTGTTTTTGAAAATAAAAATATTTACTTGTTGATTTCAGCAAAGGAAAGAAGTAAGTGGAAAAAGAATTTCCCACGACTTGTAAATATAACGCAAATTTTTTCAAATGAAAGCAATCAGTAAGGAGTCACTGATATGAGTCAGTTGGTGAGAAAAAATATATTGAAAGAAATTTTGATGCTATTTTCAGATCATTGCAATGAGATTTCAATTGTGGTTGTAAGTTAGATAATTATTGAATAATCTTTCATAATGAAGTCATATCTTGCGACTTGAAAATTTTATTCTATTCGTAATTGCTAACTGAATAAGGGCAATTCTTTGGATGAGTGGAATTTGAAAAAAATGAGCTTTCATAATCCAATGTCAATGAGTTTTGTGTCAAAAAAATGTTTTCTTTAATTTCATATTACTGTGAAGGAATAATAAGCCAGAACTTTCGTAGATCATTAAGCATAATTAATTCTTTACAAGTGATCTATTGAAATGTTACAACTCACCCAAATTAAGTGAAAAATTGAAAAAATATGTTTGAAAATTTTGTATTTTTTCACGGATTAAGACAAAAAAAAAGCTTCTTTATAACTCGATGACACAAGGAAATTTTTCAAAGAATTGAAATATTTCATTAATTACTGGCTTAATGCATACAAAAAAGCAACCTAATTAAAGATTTTTGTCTGTTCTATAACTCAGTAAAAGTTATTCAATGTTAATTTCAATAGTTTTCTCTAATTTTCGATTCTTTGGATGATGAAAATTGAAAATTCCGATTTCTGTCATCGAGTTATTGACAAAAGAATCCAAATAACTTAATTAATACAGCGATTAGAAGTATATGATATCAAAAGGAGTGTACATTTTATATTTTTACATCGATAAGAGTCATAAAATCAGTGCCTCTGATGGGAAAAATTAATAAAATTTCGATTTTTTGCTGAAAATTTTCCGAAAGTCATCCAAAGAATTGCCCATAATGGAATTTCAATTTTGGTAATTGAACTTAAATTAATAAGTAATTGTTATGGATGCTCTAATGACTTCAATTCTCTAAAGTTTGCATGTGATTTGAATGCATTTAATGAGATGAATATCAAATTTGACTTCTCTTTTGTTAATATGATTATGATTTTTAAGTTTACATAATTCGATAGCCTCAGGTGAAGCCTTTAGAATTTTTGAGTAATTAAAAGGAATTTTAAGCACTCTAATGATCTTAATTGATAGTAACACTACTCAGAATTGTAACAGATACTTAAGGGATTTTTATTATATTTTATTATACGTGAAATGAGACAATATCTGTCTCAAAAAGTTATTCCAACATGAGAATTCCAATATGTTCAGTAAAATGCAGTATTAATGATATAACTTCACAAAATATTACTTACAGATTTACTGAACTGGAATTTTAGTCTAGATCTTACAAAAAATTTCAATCTCATGTCTACAGAGTTCGCATTTAACATTTTAAAATTGAAAATATCTCAACTGCATCAAAAATTCGTTGAATCTTCATTAACTACCCTTAAAACTATTAAAACCTCAATTATGAGCTCATCTCATATAAGTTATTCGAACAGTTCCATTATTTCCTGACTCACTGATGGTCAAATTCATTTAAGTTGCTAAATATTTCACAATTTCATCAGTTCTTGAAAAATATATCAAATTTTCATCTTGAATTAATCACTAAAATCCATAAATATGCCACAATCAAACAAATCCCCAATCCACTAAACTAATTGATATATTATTTCACTTCCATAACAACTTAAAATGACTTGACCACTAAATATTCATTAAACTGCCTCAAAAAAAAGATCAAACAATTTAAGAGTCTCTTTAGTCAGAGAGCCGTAAAAATAAACATAATTGAGTACAAATTTTTCGTGAAAACTCTCCACTAATTTAATTTTCTCATCTCCAGATGATCTCGACAAATCTATCCAAAGTCCACACAACAGACAAAGTGTGACTGCTTCATTAGAAAAAAGTTGCGTTAAAAATACTTTTTATTTTCGAACCTTCTTCATCGTCGTCATCGTTGTCTTCATTTTCATTAGAATTCTCATCAATCGCCTCTATCTTCCCACAATTTTCATCACCTTCAATCACCTCCTCAAATTGATATGATTCGGAATCATCATATTTAAGTTCATGTGTTGAAATTTCCTGATCAGTCTTATCACCAGTCTCGGCTGATTGTGTCATTGCATCATCGTCGTCCTCGTCTTCAACACTTTCCTCATATATCGAGGAATCATCCTGATATGAAAAATCATCTTGCTGGTAGTTAATCAACCCTAAATTCTGTTTCTCCATCACATTACAATTTATACACATATTTTACATTCCCTTTTTTCACAGTTTCACTTGATTATATTACATATACATATCGCATTCTTACATTCCGTGCGCTTTTTCTTCTTTTATAACACGGGAAAATTGCTTTTGAATTCACATGAGATGAGATAAAAACTGAGACTGTCGTAGAAGAAAGGAAAAAAAAATGCCAACACAAAAAATTTAAATAAATTTTCATATTTTTTTTTCTTTTCTTTTTATTTCGTGCCTTCTCATCCCACTTTTTTTAATTCTCTTCTCTTTTTTTCAGTTTGCTGTCTCTCTACTCCCGTGGATTTTTTTTTCTTTGCTGCTGCATGTATGCTGGTGTGATGTGGAATAGAAAGAAGAACGAAAATTTTTTTCCTCTACTTTTCACCTGACACTTTTATACTTTTTATATATGTAGATATTCTCATCTCATCTTACGTCTTTTCTTTTTTGAAAAATTAAAAGTGATTAGTTAAGGAATGGGATTTTGATAAGAGTTAGAACGCAGTTCTTGTTATGAAGATCTCAACTTATTAAGTTGGAGTATTTCTTTAGCGACTTTGACTAATTTTGAATAGAATCTATAGAGTTGTACCGCTTAAACCTAAATGTAGCATCTAGATGCTAATATATCCATGTTTTCTACTCAGTCGAGCTTCATGACTAAATATGGGATCAAAACCTGAAACTATGACATTTGATTCAAGTGCTCTACTAAGTTTACTAAGTTTAAGCCTGAAAAGCAAACCTATTAAGTAAAGGCCCCAAAAGCTGTTGATATCTAATTCCTATAGTAAAGACTTTACCCAAAGAGCTGTCTAGATGTCAAATAATGTTAATTTAGAACCTGCACCACACAATCTAGATTATTTCAAGCCGCTTCCTCACATTTTCTTAAGAACACTTAAAATCTCAAGTACCAATTCATTCACATATCCAAACTGCTCTTGAAGCGCCAAGCATGTAGCAGAAGAATTATGTTTGAGAGAAAATCCTACGCTTAAAAATGTTTCCAACGCTGCACAAAATGTGTGAAAAAAATAAGAATGAAGAAGATGAAAATAGGAATGATATTCTTTTCGCTCGATATGTGTATGTGTCTTATGGCAGTCAAGGTCGTTGTTGGGAAATTCCTATTCTCATTTCTATTATTCTCTTAATGTTTATGAACATACAAATCTATAATTAAATATATACCTACATATGAAGATAGAAAGACACAAAGAAACAATAATAATAACAATATCAAGCATCAGTGGCAGTAATAATATTAAAAACGAAAGAAAAGTAAAACATAAAAAGTTTTCTTATTCAATCCATTTCGCGCTCTCGTTTCTCTCATTGTTTTCCTACCATTTACGGATGAATTCAAACAAAAATTAATTGGTATTAAATAATAAAATTAATTAGAAAGTTGAATAATTAGAAGAATATTAAAGTTTTTCTCTCACCGCACAAGATTAATTACAAATTTTGGAAAAAGAAAAAAAAATCTTTTTGGCTTCACTTCTTTTAATGTAATTTTATTTTAATTTTTGTGATGGCTTTTTGAGAATTTAAATGAGAAAAGTTTTAATTAAGACTGAAATTATTTTTATTAATAATTCTTGAATGGCAAAATGATTAAATAATTTGATGAATGATTTTTGATTTTGGTTGGTTTTTGTCCAAAAATTTAAAATACAGAAAATCTAGTTCCAAAAACTTCTTTTAAAATTCATCGAATTTTATTCTCCACAAAGTTCAAAGATAAATCTGAAATTTTAATATCGAAATAAAGTTAAAATGTAACCATGGAGTGACGTAGGAAGTTCTGATGAACTTGCGACAGAAAATTATAGAAGAAATATTGAAAGCATTCATAGAAGCTTTAAAATTTATTGAAGTTTCCTGGAATATCAGTTAAAAAGCTTCATTCTGGTTTTATTAAAAATATTTCAAATATCCCATCAGAGATCTATCATTTTAAACAAGACTTGCACGAGGTACTTTATGGAATTCCAAACTATTCAATCGCAGAAGGCAACTCAACCACTGAAGTCCTGAATTTTATGAATTGTAAATTGAACAATATTGACAGCAATGTAATCAAACAATACCCGGAATCAAACCCTTTGTGGAGCAGCAAAGTGAAAATCTTTTGTTTCGTATTTTTAGAAAGGAATATCCCTTGAGCTTTATTTGTAAATATAAAAGATTTTTTGGATTTATGCACGTGTGGCATTTCGTTGAAGGATTTTCAATGGACAAAAATATGCAATTGTAAATTTTTTGATCGATTAAAATTCGAGTATGATTTATTTTTGTGGAAATTAAAATCATTAAAAATATCATTTCAACATGGATTATGTTTACTCGCACAAAAAAAAATCACACAACCCAAAAACCTAAAACAACTTTATTTTATGTAGCTGTCCTTGTAATGCATTAAATGATTTAATATCTCATAATTTATGACTCAAAAATACTAGAATTATTTTAAAACGCATATTGAAATGACAATTTAATTAGTTTAATGACCTTCGAATGTATTCTTACTTGTCTATCCCATTTCGAGCAGCAGGTGCTTATCTTGTTTTTCTCTTAGTTTTCTTAGAGAAATTTTATTATTCATGCTCTATATATTTTATTTCTTTATTATGTATCTTGTAATTGGAGTTAAGACATTTAAATTATCAGAGTTTGTAAGTAAAGGAACAGATTTAGAGTTAAAATAATTTTGGGGAGTCGATAGATTTTTCTCTAAATTAACTATAGTTTTCTAAGGTTAAAATTGTGTTCTTGTCTTAGATAAACCACAAAATGTAATGCTGCATTCAAAAAAGTGAAACTCAAAAGTATGAAAAAGTTAAATGCGCTTTAATCTTTATTTATTTTAAAACATCCTTACTTATTTATTAATTTTCTTTCTCACGCTAATAATCAACAGAAAAAGATTTATGTTAATGTTCATCGCATGTCCCAAAAATGTCACAAGAATGTCGGTTTGTTTTCTTATTTGTAAAAACACTTAATACGAAAATGAAAGATGAAAAAAAGTAAGAAAGGAAAGTTTCCCTCATCGTTGCAATATGCTGCAAATTGCTGATGCTTTTTGCGACTTCTCTTGGTATGTGGAGCATTCTTACATTATTGCTTTATCTGCTGATGAAAGTTGTATGCTTAATATATGCATGAGAGTGTGAATTTAAGAAGGTTTGTCACGTGATTTGAGTTTTTAGACACTTTTATTTGAATTTTTCTTAAATTATTGATTCCAAAATTATGAAATTTCTAGAAATAAATGTCAAAACATTTTAAATTTACAAAACCAAAGTTGAAATCGATTCCGAAAATTCGCAACTTCAATTAAATCAATTGCTTTCGTAATAAATTCCAAAACTCACAAATTCAACCACAAAACTCGAAACAATACCCTTTAGAATATTTTCAACTGAAACATTTCTCAATTAAATTCATACATACACAAAAAGCTCATTCTCAGAACGACTGCATGCATTGTATTATTATACACAAAAATATACGGAGAGCAAAAAAATTCATGCACATTGCTACATTATACGAATCGCTGAATAAGAGGAAAAAAGCTAACTTTCGAATTTCAAATGAAACACAACCCAAAAACTACACCAAAAATGTCACATGGTTGACATTGCATCATGGAGTATTTTTTTTTGCATCGTACCAAAAAAATTTCAATTTTAATTTACATGGAAATTTTTTTCTTCAGTTTTTCTTTTTTGGTTGATGAAAATTGTTGTTTTTGAGTTTTAGACAAGCTTTTTAGTTTGATATGTTGTAGATATTGGGTGATAAGGTACGAGAAAGGGGTCAAAAAATCCTATTTCAGTTAACATCACATTTGATAGATCCCTTTAAAATTATCCTCTCATTTTTTCATCCAAAATATATGTAAACAATCTAATTCTTCAATCTTATCTCAAATTACATCCAAAATCTTTCTTATTAACATTCATTTCTATCATATTTTATCAGAAAACATCCGAAAACATTGGATGAACCATCAAAACATCGAATATCCTCAGTGAATTATGTCATTTCACTGTTTCATGCGAATTAATGGAACATTGAGAGAATCACAACAATCCTTCTCTCACATCATCATTATCCTCATACAAAATTCAAATCATCAATGTTTTATCTCGATGTTATGCTGCATTGTTCAATGTTTTCTCTCATCCGCTGTCTACTGTTCCATATATTTTCTCTCATTGCGTTATTTTTGTAATTCTACTTCTTCCTCGTGTTGTGCTGATGTCCACATTAGTACTTATTAATTGGCCCCTTTTTCTATTTTGCAAATTGAGGTCGAATATGGTTTACTGAACTTTTTTCTATCCATTTCATTCTCCCTCACAATCATTATTTAATTATTCCGTTGATTATTTCATTAATGCCACATTCTTGTAACCAATTCTGGATTCTGGTATTTGCTTAATCATGATAATGGAAATGAGTTTGATCAAATGGACGGATGATATCGTTTAAATCTAAAGCAATAGGATGTATGAAAGTATTTTTAGTCTAGCATCTGAATGAAGTAATTTTGTGTCTTTTTGATGGAAATTTTTGTTTTTTTGGGGATGTATAATTAGTTTTCATGAGTCTAGGAATTAATTTGTGTGTCATTAATGTTGAAATTGCTGAATAAGTTGTGGGTTGAATTGAGGAATTTTATTGGCTTTGGATTGGGGTGTTTTAGGGAGACAGGAGACTCCCACGAGTAGAACCAATTCAGGTCCAATTAAGATAGGCAACAATCCTAAGTTCTAACTTGATTAGAAGCACTTAAACGATTTCTCAACTAATTGATATTTACATTTTTTTTAAAATTAAAACTCTACGCTCGTGACATTTTGATCTATAGCTTAGCACATAACCTCAAAAAAGAAAATTTTCCTAGAATTTTGCTTCATAAAATCTGAAAGCTTCTGAGAAATTATCTGCTTCATACACCACGAGAAGCTCAACACTTTCATCATATATAG